TGTATTTCAATGTTATACCTGTAGTTATGACGCATGTTAGGTAGAGATGGCCTCTGGGAATTTTATTCGTATTACTAACAACTATGAAAAATGAAATCATTTGTCCAGAAATTAATTTGATGGTAACATAAAGTCAAAATGTATTAATGTATTGCCAAATGCTAATTCGTTTTACTATTCCGACAGCGGCGTAATGACCGCGAATGATCATGACATTGTTCTGTTTAAATCGAGGTGATCAACTCAAACGAACGGACACAATCCCTAAGACTCATCTATATAATTATTAAAAATTTGATACAAAAACTAGTTTTACTGAACTGAAAATGAGCCTTAGATGAATCATTTACTACCATAACGTGCTGCTACTAACTGTATACCTTGTATTTCCTTGATCGACTAGTCTATTGAATAAAAAAAAAAACTAGTGAAATCGGATTCCGGTTCAATATAATAAATAACATAACATCGTATTTGAGAGTTTTGTACGTGCATAGGATGCAATATATTATTTCAATATGTCAGTATAAAATATTGACATTGAACAGCAAAAAGTGTTATCTATTATTCAAATATCACAACTTCATAGTTCACTGATAAGTATTATGATAATAATAAAAAAATTGACGGCTGTTTCAGTAAGATTGTTTAGAACGGTTCTAAAATTAAACATGAAATTTTTGTTTACATTCATGTATACCTTACACTTATGCTAAATATTAACAAGTTATAAAAAAACAAGATTATAATACCCATTTCTATTGTTCCAAACTTCACAAAAACGAGGAATATATTATTTTTTTTAAGCACGATTCTTCCATGAAATATTTTTAATTTCTTAGCTTTTGAAAGTTTACTATTCGTAGATATTAAGTGCCGTATCTACTCAATAACTATTATTACTATCTAAGAAAACATGTAGAAAGTTCATGAGAATTCTCGAGGGATTATTTTACGCTAGTGGTCTCAACAACTCTTTTAACCATAAAAACAATAATAAATTTAATTATATCCATATATACACAGTGATTTAATTATCATGAATCATCTAGTAAATCGAAAAATAAAAATAAAGTTAATAATTTTTTATTAATTTCTTTTAGTACTTTTTATAGTTTAGTTACTCGAAATTTATCAATCATGAAGTATTTTTTATGTTCTATCCTTATACCTTATATAGGTATCAACTTTAATTTCTCAAAAACAACACACATAATTAACTAGCTTATTTAATAGCTAATGATTTAATTAAGAAAATGATTGGTCGATAATAACTTTTGGACCAGTATATCGGAAGTTATTGGCATCTTTATAAATAGGCGGGAGGAAATGTACGGTCAGGAAATGTCTAGTTATAAAAATAGCAACTTCCACTCTTCATATCCAGTCTTTACCTTAAATTGTTAATAACTTCTGAAATAATAAATCAAATGTTGTAAACGACTGATAAATTTCTTAATTAGATCATCATCTATGAAATAAGCAAATTAAATAATTATATATGTGCCATTTAGAAATTAGTACCCTAAACCAATTTGCTACCTCAGCATCTTTAACTTATAAAAAGACATTTATATATGCTGCTCTTAAACTCAAAAGCATTGTACGAACGTTTATGTTTTTCTTCACTATTGTCCATCTTCACTATAATCCTGAATAATCAATATAAATGAATTTGGGATCATCTATTTTTACCTAAAGGTAAACTTATTTTTATTACTTAACATAATTCAAATTCGACTTTTCATTATTAGTTAAAATTTAAAATTATTTTTTGTTGATGGCCCTAGAATAGGCTAAAAATGATTTCCATAGAAAAAAAAAATTACTTTTTAGTTTTGTTCCTTATGACATTAAAAATCTTTTGGTGTTGGAAGCACTATTTTAACTTCAAATCTACTGTTGCAAATTAAAAATAAAAGATGGGCACATCAATTTTTAGCTAGATAGAATAGTTTAACGTATATTTATTAAATTTTCAAAAACATAAATAGCTGGAAGGTAAATTAAATCTAAAGAAAAAAATGCATATATTCACACTTGTAGGAATACGGAAAAAACAACTAATTAGAAACGACTGGGAAACATGGACTAAGTACATTAAAAATGATCAAAGAAATTACATCCAAATTAATAAATCTATTATAAAATTACAATTTAATTAAAAATTGCAAATTTTATTAGTTTGTTTAACAGATATTGCAAACTTATAGAAGGAATTATAAAATATTATAATGATTTATAGCTTACAATTTTTTTAATTTAATATTTTAGTAGCATTTAAACGTAAAGTCTAATAATATATTTATATTTATTGGTCATAATTACCAAACAATTAAAATACAATATTTAATATACTTTTTAGTGAAACCAAATGTTGCATAAATTTGCTATAAAGAAGAATTATTTACAATATTCAGTGGAAAATGATTAAATATTACTAGTATTAGTATAAATGAAAGTATCTATAATTTATACTTTACGATCATCAATTATTTAAAATAATTTAACACTGTGTTTATATATTAGTGATGATAGTCAATAAAGAGTAATTTTTAAAACATAATAAACTTATTATAAACTTAGTAAGTGGGATTTTAATTTCTCAAGGTAGACTGCCCCAAATCATGTCAATGAAAACACAAAATAATCAAAACTATTTTGTTTCCGGATTGTTACTATTTTCTTTAGTGAGTTACACAATCGAAAAATGCACTTTTAAAATATAACATTAGTTTAATGTGCACAGTTTATCTGTATTAATTTACAAATTATACATTACTGTTATTTATAAATATTATTATTATTATTATTAATTTAAATTAATTTAAATAGTTATACTTGTTTCGAATTGAATCTTTTAAATTATAAGGGTAACTATACAGATAAAATATTTAGGAAGTTGAAAAGATAATTTACCTTATCATGGAATATGACAGAAATATTCTTTGTAACTTTTGAATGACTCGATATCTCTGGTCATTGTACTTATGTATTTAAATTTAACAGAAAGAACGCGTGGTATTTTACACAAAACTACTGCGGTGTATTCTATATTACAACTACATTTATAGCACTCAACTTTTTTTTATATATTTACACAATTTGTACCAAAAAGGAACAATAAGAGTATTGGTTAAATTAAAATAACACTCAAATTTTAAAATATTTAATCATATAATAATAATTAATATCAATCCAATTAGAATTTGTAAACAAATAATTGTGAGTGTTTCGGAAAAAATAATTCCGTGATTAAAAAAAAAAAGTTGCAGTTATTATAATTTAGTAGTTAAAAAGAAACATTTTAAAAATCTTGTTTGAATACTAAAAAATAGACAAAAACGTGTTCGGTTATATAGTATATCATTATTGTTATTTGTTATCTTAGGTCGTTAAACAAAATTTGTATTTTCTGAACATCATTATGCGTTTGCATTAATAAGTAAAGCCATTACAAGATCATTTTTTTAAAACGTAACATCAGAACCATATAATTTTTTTTGAAAATAATTTTCGAAATAAACGTTTAAAACTTATTAGTAATAACTTAAACTAGTGGTATTCTATTAAAATCTCATTACAATATTTGTCATACTTCTGTCAAAAGTTATGTAAATGCTTAAATTGTTTTAAGTTTATATAAAATAAAAACTTCTTGTAATAATTAACTATAGTGTCAACATTTTATGGATCTACAGTAGAAACTTAAACATTTTTATTTATTTTTATACATATTTTAGTTTTATGGTTTACTTCTTCAAGATATAGTATTGTGTTGGTGATAATAACAATTTTTTATGCATTTTTAAATTAAATACCTAAACCTTTTTACGGTAACATAGTAAATGGTTAGTGACCAGTATTAAATTCAGATATACGTCATACAACTAGAGTTTCCCTGAGATTTTAATAGTATCTGGGTGATTTAGCTATTTTCGAAAATTTGTCGTGATATTAATTAATAATTAACTAACATATAAAAACAGTTTAAAACATCGAGTTTGAAATTTTTTTTTTTTTGTTCATTACAATTTATTATTTATTATTACTTAATGGAATGATTTCAATTTTAGTATTTAATAATAAAATTGAAAATGAATAAATAACTCAATAAAATTCATTTTTTTTTTATAATTGTAAGTTAATAATAAATATTTTAATATTAATTTTATTACAAAAATGTTTTAAAGAACAAATATATAAGAAATTTTGATAAATCGCTATCAATATACGGATTTGTTAAATGTTCAAGTGAGTCAAGTAAATATTTGGACATCATTTAGAAAAAATAATTTGCCTGTTAAATTGCTATCGTTTTACAGACCTTTAAGTATGGTTTAATAACTCATTCAACACATTTTTCTAATGGTGCTAATCATACTCAAAGGTCTATAAGAAGATGGTTATTCGAAAGGTAAATTAATTTTATAGACAATGTCAGAATATTTACTTGACTCACTACATATATATATATGCATTTATGCTACGAGTATATCAAAATGAGGTAGAAATATATGATTTTAGTGCCAAAATTCCAAAACAATTTTAATTGCATTTAAATAATACATTACAATATACATAATTTATGCTAATATTAAAATTCAATTGACCATTTGTGTAGAAATGAATACTGAATGGAAGTTTCTTATGAAAAAATGAAATATTTTTTTATTTACCGAGAAAAACTTGGACATCACGACCAAGTATAAATTTTCAAGAAATCTTAAGATATGAAAATATATATCAAAAATGTAATGGTAATAATATATTAGTACTGCGAAACCCTGTAATTTTAGTCATGGGAATCTTTAACTAAAGGGTCGATGTAAAATATATATATGATATACATCTACACAGTCTTATACCCACCACGGATAGAAAAAAATTTTAAGAAGGTTAAATTTAATTTCCCCTTCCCTCGTATTCAAATTTGAAACGTAGACTTTACGTGAAAAAATTGTGTTTTAACGAAATATTTATTAATAAAATATACTTACAATTATTATTACTCCGACGTCATATGCAACGTTTAACGTCAATCAAAATTTGTGTCCCTGGACCTTAACAAGAATCAAGCCGTACAATTGAGTCTGAAATTCTGAACAGCAGTGATTCCGTACACGGGCATATTTGCGGGAGAACCGCGTTGTCAACTGAAGTTGGATGAATCCGCCGGCTCTTGTTTACTCCACATGTGGTTCGTACCACTACTCTTGACATTGAGACGGAATGCTTCGCTAGCAAAGGAAATGCTTACTGATTACAATGTGATATCAGTTTCACTTCTGACGTCTCGTAACGATTGTTAATATTATAAATATTACCAATATTATTGTTTATATTTTAAACTATTGTAGTTTGCCTTAAAATAAATTCGTGTCATAAAATAAAACTATTTATATTTTTTAACTATTATGGTTCCTTAAAAAATAAACGTCTATTACAACATATTCTTACTTATGTCTGAAATAATATTACAAAAGAAACATAAATCTATTATTATGAAATAGTTTACAGCAATATTATTATTATATTGAACTTTAACCACGTAGAGTTTCGAAATTTGATTATTATTATCTATGCATATCTGTTTTTTCTGGAATAATGATTTTATAGAATTTGTTAAGTTATTCTGAATACACCATCAGTTAGCACAAATTTTTATTGATTGACTTAAAAATTTAGTAATATGTTGTTAGCCACAATTTATAGCTTTGAATAAATATTAAAAGGGTTTATCACTCCTCTAACGAAAAATGATTTTTCGCCACTATACAGAGTAAAACTAACTGACCACTCCTAAGACATTACGCTGTACATTATTTTAATAATTTATGCATTTGTCAGACTACGTTAAAATCTTATTATATTATTTGTTTTTAAGTATAAATTTTGATTCAAAAATTTAATTAAAATTTTTAAAAACATTTAATTATTAGAATTGGTATGAAACGCGGTTAGTGTATGTGTTACAAATATACATTAGTCGAGCTGTACCTAATCAACGTATTAAAATTCTTAAAACTTAATAATTGTTCTAGGATTGTAAATATTTTTTAAAAAAAAGCTTAAAAAAAAGTATTTTAAAATAGTTAAAAAATATATTTTTTAAGGGGAGAAAAATCTTTAAGCCTTTTTCAATTTTTTTTCCTAACTCTGCCTATGGATATTCTATTTATTTATCATTTTTTCTTATGTTACCCATAAAATACATACTGTTTTATAACATTGCATTTATCAATATTAAAATAATTTCATGAAATAGATTCAAAAATTCTAAGTTTTCAAGGCAATGTAGATGCTATCAAGCTAGAATCGTCCAAATTATGCTGACTAAATATATATAACTTATGGTAATCTAATATATTAAAATTTTACCTAAAAAATAATGTTGTTATCAGTATTATACCAATCGAATGCGTATTGCCTTTAATAATATTAATATATATATATATAGTTGTTCAGTAAGTAAGGAAACAGGTTTCTATTGTTCTCATTGTTTATAACAATTGGCCCGTTTCCTTACTTACTGAACACTTTGTATAGGTTTGGTAGACTATTCTATACAAAACTAGAAATATTATATTTTGAATTTTTCTTAGCTTTCTTTATTACTAAATAAGTATATTTACTACCCAGGGCTGTAGTCCATTGTGCGTGTACCTTGAACTGGCCCTGTAAACTAGTTTGATACTATATCGTCATGTAAAAAATTATCATTTGAATTCCAACAAAATAATCGAATTATTGTACATTACCTATCAAAATACTGCCGATTTTGTTTTATCTGCTTCAAAAATATATTTAATATTATTCACAGTATTAGTTAATTATAAGGAGAAGATCAATTTTTAAGTATTAATACATGTTCTTGAATAATTTTAAAATCATGAGATCCAAGGTCGATGAAATTGTAAAAACACAGTTTTAACGATAAATAAATTAAATACTATTTGCTCTAATGTAATTGCACAGTTTTCTGCATCTTTTACATAAAAGACTTAAAATAAAGAAACTCGGATAAATATTAAATACCAAATTTAATGGTTCATAAAAAAAAACCTTAATAGCTAATATAAAACATCTAAGTGTTTTAAATTAATTGCTGAACAGTATCAATGAAAGTTCATTTCATATTTTTGTCGAAATAAGTTAAGTTGTCATTTATATTTTTAAACATATATACTTGTATTTGTTTCTATAAATAAAATAAAGAACAAATCGGTAGAGTAAAGAACTGAAAGTATTTAGACTGGTACCCAATAATCTTATAATTATTAAACTGGGAACCAAAATTGAAATAAAAAATATATAGAAAATAATTAAATAAAAACCAACCATCTTTACACAAAATATGATAAGTGTTCAGTTGGGTGGTTCAGAATTATAATTTTTTGGTTGTATTGTTATAGTAGTATAAAAACAATATACATAGTTTATTCGAAAAATTTTTCCCAATTTGTGAGCTTAAAATTTAGGTAAAAATTATTTTTTATTTTTTTTATAACTTGTAATACAGATATTTTATTGAAAATAATTTAAATAAATTAATGATAATCTACATAAAAAAAAAAGAATAAATTCAGTATCATTTGATTAAATAGTAGTTGAATATATACCAAGTTATAGACTATAAAATCTTAACTTTTACAACATTTATTAAGAAATTTTTTTTTTTATATTTGAAATCTTATAATTTGACAAAATCGTAGGTATTGTTGTGTAATTAAAAGAAAATATCTAAAATGTATAATTTGCTCAAAATAAGTGGTATTACAGGCAAGTAAATCATTTAACAGGGTAGCAGAATAGAAATTCTCCTTGATTAGTTAGTGGCCAACGATGTTAAAACAATCAAAGCAGTGGTATCATTTTACTATTTTAGGACATGGACACTTTAATACTCAATAATTATTATTCATAACTTTTTTTTGTAAATTATAATTATTTTTGTGTACTAAAAAATTATGTACTTAAATAATTCCAAAAAATGTATTTGAATAATTTTACTTAAATACAACTTAGGTAATAAAACAAATATAAATTACCACTTATTGAAACCTACATATTTTCATTAAGATTTCAACAACTGTATACTTTACCTTAATACGTTTTTATTTTACTTTGAGAAGAATCTAAACCTAGAAGAGTCTTGGAGTCTAAATACTAAACGAAAATAAATAAATCTAAAGATTATAATTATTTTAGAAGAAATTAAGTAATTAATGATAAATTTATTACAAATTTTCAGGATGATTTGTTATTAATCACTTTAAAATACTTTCTTATCTACTATAACCAAAATTTTACTTTAATTTTACATTTATATATTTATTTTGAAATAAATTAAATTAATATAGTGAAATCTTATTAGAATTAATACTACTATAGGTGAATTTATTCAATGTTTCATATTTGACTCTTTCTTTTTCTGTTTTCTCTCCTTAATCCCAACTACTTGGGGTCGGCCATCCTTATCCTAAATATCCACTTCACACGATCACCCTATCATCTACGCTTACATCAGCCGTCCCCTCATATCGAATCCAAATATTTGACATATCTTCTTTTTCCTCGCCTTAATCCCAACTACTAGGGGTCGGCCATCCTTATCCTAAACTTCCACTTGAGACGATCTCCCATATCCTCTACGCTCACATCAGCTGTCCTCATATCGCATTCAATAACATGTATCCATCTCTTTTTGGGTCTTCTTCTACGTCTTCTTACTGCAACATTCATTTCTACAACTGTTCTTACGGCTTCCGATTCTTCTCTTCTCATAACATGACCAAACCATCTAAGTCTATTTTCTAAGAGTATTTGTAATGATAAACGTGAAAATAAAATAAATAAGAAACATAAAATATTAATCACTTATAACTAGAAAACTAAATTACTTTATACTTAACATATATATGTTCATCAATAATTAAATTACTGATGGCTTAATCTCGATAACTTCCAACTGCCACTTCCATGATATGCTTTAGTATCAATTATGTCATTAATGTTTCATTTATAATTAATACTTTATTATGAGATGTATGACTCACTAATTAGTAGTTACCGGCATACATGTGTTAGTTTGGGACTAACTCATGACTTTATTTATCGCTTACAGGTCAGCTCTAATTCGAACGATTTCAATTTAATGTGGTCAAACAATCTTGTCAAGACCGAAATTATTAGTTCACTGAAATCATTTCAACGTGTAAATCATTTTCCAAGGTAGGCAATTTCATTAACTCATTATTTATACATAATTTAATGTTTAATTATGATTTAGTTGAACACTCTTTCATAGTAATATATAATAAAGATTTATAAATGTATTTTCTCCAAGTGTGAGTACTAAAAATGATGTAACATTATTTTTTAATTGGAAAATAATGTTTTAATTATACAATAATGAAATTTTTATGTCATCATTCAATAGTTTTAATTTTTTAGCATAGTATTAAAAAATATTATCATTAAAATATGAAATGAGTTAAGTACTCATGTAGGAATTATGAATTAATATTAAATCAAGATATAAATATATATACATGTCTATAATAAAAAAATAAATAAATAAACAATAAGATTTATAAATACACTAGCATTTAAATATTGGTATAATAAATATAATAATTGATTTGTTCAATTCGAGGACTAATGAAACACATACTTTTAGAAATCTAATAATAATACTTCCGTTTAAATGAGCCTCACTAAATAAGTAAAGCTTAATAGAAGGCGTAAAGTATGTGCACTGTCCTTCAGTTCACTATTAATTTAGAATAAGTTTTAAATTATTTTAATCAATTCTAGGAGTGTCATATTATAAAATATTCAAAAATAATTAATCGCATTTAAAAATTTTGAAATTTATACAATATTGATCGTTAATAAATAAATTTTAAATAAAAAATAATCAAAACAAAACTGTTTAACCTATTTATATAAATTTGTATTTTTATATAAATAGTTTAGTCTCTTCGATTTTTTAATATATGACAATTTAATAAATAACAATAGAATTAAGTGTTTATTTTGGAGGCCATTCTGACAAACCAAGCAGTTAGTAAATGTAATGAGACAACTGTCATATTGATGTGACCAGCATTTACATCCGCATTCGCATTTAGACTAATATTAACTACCCATTAGTATTAGTACCACATTATTTAGTTTATAACTTCCGAATATATTTGTTCAACACCAACGTATTTTCATTTATTATTACATGATTGTTTACAATAGATTTATGTTTGAGAACCAATTTATATTAATTTCCTATTAAACATATTAATAAGACATGAAATAATAAAGTATTGGTATGAGTCGATAGAAAACATTTGTTGGTTTCTAATTTACTGTTAATGAAAACGTGTAAATATTTATTTATAAGTATTATGGAATGCTTTATTTTTATTCTTGTTACTATCTTACCATAGTATTTCTGAGTATAATATATTAATCATAGCCATTTTTAAGATTTTGGCGTGGGGTGACTATATGAATTTTGCGCTCTCAAATCAATCAGAATCAACCTTTAAATAATATTGATGAGAAAAAAAATCAGCATTTTTTTTTCATAGATAAGCTTATATCAAACTTACTTCTAATAAAATCTCAACTAGAATTTGTTTTTGTATGTGTGCTAATATACCCCTGAATTGAAAAATACGCCAATGAAATCAACAAATAATAATTTTATAGTTAGCATATTTTTTCAGAAAAATTACATATTTTAAAATCATATTTTTTTTAAACCACTATACTTTAGATCTTGTGAGCTTACCAGAAAAGATAAACTATACAAAAATATAGAGAAGATGAGTCACCAAAATGGAATAAAAAATTTTTCTTTCATACCCGAGACTTATATCATGCCCAAAGATTACAATAACTTCATCATTAACCAATATAAACATAGAGGACTCTGGATTGTGAAACCTTTTGATTTATCTCGAGGAAGAGGCATCACAATTATTGATTATGTAAGTTAATCCTAATTTAATTAATTAATATTAATTAATGTAATTAATAAAGTAAAATTAGTTTTATTTTACAATATTAAGTCAAATAGTATTAAAATAGTTAACGTTATCAAAAAGAATTTCAAATTTGCCTAATGAAAAAATAAGTAGAACATAGTATAGATAATATATTATATATTTTTCAACACCAAACTTGTAGCCATTCAATGAAGTACAGCGTCAATGTTTGAAAGAAAATGTGGTTGTATTGAAGTACGTGGATAATCCACTATTGGTAAATGGATATAAATGGGATCTTCGATTATACGTTTTAGTTACATCATTCAATCCGCTAATCATTTATTTATATGAAGAAGGTTTGGCTCGATTTGCTACAGTCAAATATGATTATGAACGAAAAAATGTCAACAACAAACAAATGCACTTGTGCAATTATAGTATCAACAAGCATAGTCCAAACTATATAAAGTATTTTTACTCAATGAAATTCTTCATAAACTAATTGAGTTTCACCATCATTATTTGCTTTACAGAAATTCTGATCCCAAGAAAGAAAATGTGGGTCATAAATGGTCAATGAGCGCTCTACTAAATTACTTGCGAAAAAATTATTTAATTGATACAAAAACTTTAATGTCTGAAATTGAAGATATCGTAATAAAAACTATAATAAGTGGTGCAGCTCAAATGCTACCGGCTATTAACTGTTTTGTACCTCACAGCCAAAACTGTTTTGGTAATTGATTGAAAAATTATTTAAAAAATTTAAGATTTACCAACATTTTTAGAAATTATTTTTTTGCATAGAGGTAAATCGACTGAGAGGTTTAGTCCATTGAAAACTTGGCGTAGCAACCCTCCCAGAATTTAAAAAAACTATATGTATTTTGTTTTAAAAAATATTTTATAGAGTTATGGAAATATCAATTTAACCCCCCTCAATTTTTTTTCTTGCACTTATGTTAATGTTTTTATGCATATTAGGCCATTGAAAATCAGGCATAAATTAAAAAGTAGAGATAACTTTAAATTACAAAAGTACTTATTCAGATTAAAACAAATATTTAAAAAAATTGTTCTCAATAATTTCTATAGTCTTAATAAAGTATAGATTTCTATAGCTTGTAATAAGATGCTTATAACAAATTCTAGGATTACCTACTAATTTTATTAATTTTTTTTAACGAAATAATTATTTTAAAATAAGTATTTTTTGGATAACTGACAATAATGTTCTTTAATTTTATATTGTTTTTAATTTTTGCCTATTTATTGCTTGTTATGAATAATTATGCAAAACTTAATGAGTTATACTACAAGCAACTGTTAAAATATTTAGAGATCAATTTACATACCTGAATCACTTTCTTTGTCACACAACTTAAGCATTCCATTTTATCTTAATTAATAACTTTTTTATGTTGCACAGAGCTATATGGGTTCGATATCTTAGTAGATGACAAACTGAAACCTTGGTTAATTGAAGTCAACTTATCACCATCACTGGGAATAGATTCAACATTGGATAGTAAAATAAAAAGTTCAATGTTGTGTGATTTATTTACGTTAATTGGCATTCCAATAATAGATCCTACAATATTCGATCATTCAAATAAGTTTGTGTAAAAATAAATGCATATTTCTTTAACCACATACATTAATCTGATAATATTTATGATAGAACTTCAATGAGAAGACCCAAATCAAGCATTCTGAAAAAAAATTTATCACATAATAACAATTTAAAATACGACGAAAAACGATTGCTTCTTCATACTATTGACCAAAATCGTAGGAGTAGAGGGTTTATAAGAATTTATCCCACAAAAGTAACGTGCAAAAAATATACACCATACTTGGGTAAAAATAAAGTTTATTTTAATATCTAATGTAATTTTTTAAGCATAAATTTAGTTTTAAAAGCAAAACGTATAAAAAATACTTTATTATTATGAAAATAATGATTATAATTATTACTACTATTCAGACAATATTTATGGAGTACCAAGAGGATCAACCTTACCACCATTTTATGTCAAGCTTATGAAAAATTATAATTGTTTATTAAGCCTTACACTCTTCAGTGAACATACATCATTTGACCTAAGTGTGGATAGACAAGATCGGTATGAGCGATCATTAAGAGATTGTAATTATCATATTGATAGTAAGTTGTGTCAATATCATGCATGTTACTCTATATAAAAGTTTTTATTCTATATATATTTATATACACCCAGAAAAAATCTCACTTTATTTAATAATTTCATCATTAGATTTGCTAAATATCATCAACATATTTTTTTTTTTTTTTTACAATTTGAAAAATCAATCTGTAAATTAAGCACAATAAGTATATATGATATTATAATAGTAGCATGAATATTTTGAATTAAGAAATTACCCANAACATAGCACAATAAGTATATATGATATTATAATAGTAGCATGAATATTTTGAATTAAGAAATCACCCATTGGTGACACTTGACTGGAAATTAACGCTGTCTAGAGTCTAGAATTTGGTTGTTTTTTTTTTTATAATTATTATAACAAGTCACGGCACCAGTTGACTTGTTGACCCAGACGACGCCCGGGGTTCCCGGTATGGTTTGAGTGTAGAGGCTCTTTATCAATGGATTTTGGTGGGTTTGTAGGCGATTATGAAAACGTTTGTAGAAATCTACAGCTTCTTCTGTCACAGTTTTCATTNAAAAATCTACAGCTTCTCCTGTCACAGTTTTCATTGTGAGGTCTTTATGTAGGGTATAATTGGACACAAAAGGTGGAGCATTCGTAATTTTTCTAAGGGCAATATTCTGGAACTGCTGGATTTTGTTGCTATTAGATACTTTAGCAGTACCCCACAGTTGAAGACCGTAGGTCTACATTGGTTTTAATAGTGTTTTATACATAAGATCTTTAACTTTTAGTTTAGAGTGTTTATTATTTGTAAGCAAGGGACGTAGACTGCGGAGTCAGGCATTTAAAGCATCATCAACATATAATAATTTAATATATATTTTCATGGTGATGTGTTTTTTTAAAAATTAATTAAATTTTTTCATTTTTTTATGATGATATTGGGTGTGTACAGCTCCGCCAATCATTTCACCAATATAATTTCAACCAAAGTCATTATATTCATATAATGATAAAATAATTTTAAATAGTTCATTTTTTCATGTTACCCACTTTATTTAAATTTTTCCCTTAATTTCTATAAATTAATTATATTAGACTCGTAATTCATTTTATTTATTTAATATAGAAAACCTCCATAAAGTTAAAAGTATTAAAAATAATTTACAATTAACCACGTATAAATAAACATAAAATAAAACAAATCAGTATTAATTTTAATCTATTATATATATGTTATATCTAGTAATAATTTATATCAACATATTTTGAAATTGCCGTAGTATAGTTGAATAGATAAATAAACAGTAATAGTTTATTCTTTAATTATATACAATATAAAATTAGTAAAATGGGCTAATATAGTAATATATTAACTTAAAATATTAAATATTAATACAGATTAAAACATAATAATTAATAAAAATAGCCTCTTTAAGCTTAATTTTACTAATACACTTAAAAAGAATAACATAAAAATAATTTATATTATATATATATATATTATTATGATTATTATATTTGTAGATAAAAATAATAATGTTAATAACGAATGCGACGTAATTGAACTGAAAAATGCTGTGTTTACTTATTTAAAAAATGGATTTTTAATTAGGTGAGTAAGGAATTTTTTAAAATTACTTTGTCTCCCGCAATAAATTACCTAAACAGTACCCTGGGCATGATCCTTAAGTCTCTTCAATTTATCCTTATGTTACCAAAAGATAATACTTTTTAAGAAAATTGAAACAGATAGACAATTAGTATTCTGTTAATGACAAGACCAAGAATAAGCGAGTTATTAACAAAAGTTAAGTTTAAATTTTAAACTTCACGGGGATATTTGCATTTTATGCTAAAATAATTTTCTTTAGTTTTTTCAACGATTAGTTAACGAACTTTTTTGTACTTTTTCGTTAGTTTTTATTTACATAATATGTTAAATATGAAAAAAAATTTTTTTGAACAAATTATATAGGTAATGAAACATTTATCTCATAGTTTTAGTTTATTTTACGGATAATATTTAACATTCACTTAACCTTTAACTTAATTCATTAAATAAATAGAAACTAACAATTTTAACTAATAATAATTTTTTTTTTCAATTTATTTAATTTTATAGAATTGATAAAAGCATAAACTTTTTCGACTTAATCAATTTTAATTAAAAAAAAAAGAAGTATTTTCTGATATAAAAATTTGAATCTAAATAATAAGAAGAATGAATACTAATTGTATATTTTGCTTCTTATCTTTAAATGTTATATAATTATTAATTTATTTTAAATTTGAATTAGTAAAAATCAAATTAGACAGATTTTTGTGAGGTATTTAATTTACATATCTGAAAATTTAAAAAGATTCACTATGGAAAAGGATAGCCAACCTAGTACAGAATTCACGTGGCTGTTGTTTTTAAAGATTTCAAAAAAATTAAATGTTCCACTAAAAACTAAGGTAATTTTTTTAAAATGTATGTAAAATTTTTATTTTTTTCTAAACTTACAACAAAATCGTTTGCTAATAACTATTTTTCTCTTCTATAATGAATTTAATTAACTAATAAGTTTAGGGAACACACGCAAGGACCGTTACTTTATTGAAATAAATAACTAGGGTTCCGGTTTGTATTCTTTAAAAATAAAATTTATTAAGTTTTATAATGAAATTTAAAGTTATCTTTATAAGGAATAGAATAATTTGTATAATAATAACTTTATGATTTGCAAATTTCACCTTTAACTTAATATAAAACTTCTTAAATTTTTCAAAATAAATAATTTTTGATCAAATAAGAATGCTATAGTTCTAAATTCATGACATAATAAAAATTTTGATACAGTGTTTTATAATAAATTATTATTAAACTAATTACGCAAGTAACTGATAAGCATTACGAACACTACAACCAAAATGATGCACATAATAACTTATGAAAATCGATTATTGATTTATATTGTAGTATAAGTTATCATATAATAATTTAACACTGAGTTTTTGAAACGTTTTTATTAGAGCTCAAACTATATTTGGTCAAAAAATCAAAATGTACTAGAAGTTATACGTCTAATGGAAATTTTAATACTGAAATACAACAATTATAAACCAGAAATGTTCAATGACATAAAAAATCCCCAAGATTATGTACCTCAAAAACTGATGAATTTATTCCTTTCTTATGCTAAGTAAGTTATTATTTTTTTACCGACTAAATAATGTCTTTTTTTTTTTAGAAACCTTATGTTTTGTTTTATATTAATACATGTACATATTTTAAAAGATAGTAAAATATATTAACTGTTTATAGACTAATTCAAAGGATTAATGATATTAATAATAAAGTTTCGATTTTAATTTGTTACATAATAGATAGATATAAATAATCACACCAATCTTTAAATTTAAATAGGGCAGCTGTCCAACCTCCAAAATTGGTAGAATGTTAGTAATTGAAATTTTAATGATTGTATACTGAATTCTTTATAAATTTTAAAATTATTTAAAATTTATTTATGTCTGAAAAATTTAACTTGAATAATAATTTTTTTCATAATTATAAATAATACAAATAATCGATTTCAAGTCCTAATATGCAAACTATTTGAAAGTACTGTAATAAATAAAATGGTAAACTAAACTTTGTAGAACGTATTAAATCTAACTCAAAAATTCATTATTTTACACAGTTTTTTTATTAGATGGCTAAAAGTATTTACCTTCAAAATTTTTTTTACATCAGCACTACTAGTTATTAAATATTAATTAATTTAGGATATGTGGTAAACGCGTATCTATATTATTTATTGGGGATTTGCACAAAATTCTTCTAAAAGTACAATTTATATAAAAATATTAATTAATTGCTTGCATTCTAAGAGAGTTTGCGCTCATCTAGTTTTCATCATGAAACCCTACAAACAAATTTATTTAAAAAATCATAAATTTTTTGTAAGTATGCAATTTTGATGATTTAAATTAGACATGATTCAATAAAAAAATATATATGCTACAGAAAAGATCCAGTAAATTGTAGTTAAGGCATTTTTTCTGATAGCGATTAAAATCACCATACTTAAACATTTTTATTAAATATATAAAAACATTCAATATATCTACCAAAAATTTCATAGTTTTTAATTTTAGAAATAATTACTCATAGAAAACATTTATTTCATTTTTTAATCATTAATTACATTAAATATATTATTAATAATAATTATTATAAATAATATTAAATAATATAAATAATTTCTATTAAATAATAATTTAATAGAAATTATTATTGTACACTAGACAATAAAAAATAAATAAACCCAGCACAGTGGGGTCACGGTACAGTAAAGACGTGGCATAGTTGGGACTAGTATAGATGATATCTGACAGTGATTAAAATCACTATCATAAAAAACGCTTCGATGCAAATTTGTAGATAGTGTTTAATTTTAAAAAATTGGTGGATTATTCTAAAAGCTATATGATCTGCTATTTCCTTATTTATATTCTGATTAAGATATAGTATGTCGAATGAAAGAGGGATATAAATATTATTTCTTATAAAAAAATTGTATTGATCCATACATTTTTCAAAAAGTTATAAAAATATAAAGTTCAAAATGTAAAAAATAAAATCGAGAATTTTCACACAAAAATAGTATTTGGTAACTATTTTCACCGTGAAGACAAAATAAAATCCGAAATTTTTTTTTTCCATGATAAAGAAAGTATATTACATTAGCTTTAATTTAAGATATATATAAAAGTGTCAGACTTTCCGGAACACTTTCAAAAGTTAAGTTCAAAAAGTTGTTATTTTGAATCCTCCCTGTAAGTAGGTAAAGGGTCAGATTTCCAAAAAACATATACCAAATGATAGGTAAAGACATCATGCATTTATATAAGAAAAGTTATATTTAGTGATTTTTAAAAAAGTTATGGCAGTTGTAAGAAAAAAAATTTAAATAATATAAAAAATTAGCTATTTTTAAATTTGTAATTTTTTTTGAAATTTCTCCCATTTATCGAGAACGAAGGAAATTTTTTCAATTTTTAAGGGTAATTTCTTCGACTAGATACGATTTGTGATCTTTTGACGTATTGTCAAAAGAAATCGGTTCTGTGAGAGCTGTGAAAATTTAGTAACAGACACAAAAAAAAACACATTGTAGTAAAATTAATATCTTCTCAGCATCATATTATATTAAAATATTATAGATTTTTTAGGGAAATGCTTCCTATAAATTTTTCAGTCACATAAAATTTACTATGAACTTAATACTCACCTGAACGCGTTATAGTTATGGATATATCATTATTAGTTTAACTTCCAAGCTGAGATGATATTAATTTTATTATTATTATTTTTTTTTGTGTCTGTTACCAAATGTTCACAGCTCTCACAGAACCGATTTCTTTTGACAATACGTCAAAAGATCACTAATCGTATCTAGTCGAAGACATTACCCTCAAAAATTGAAAAAATTTTCCTCGTTTCCGTAAATGGGGAAAATCTCAAAAAAAAATTACAAATTTAAAAATAGCTAATTTTCGATGTTTTTAAAAATTTTTTTACTTAAAACTGCCATAACTTTATTAAAAATGACTAAATCAATATAATTTATCTATTATATATGGATGATGTCTTTATCCATCATTTCTTAAATTTTTTTTGTAAATCTGACCCTTTAACTACTCAATGGAAGGATCTAAAATAACAACTTTTTTCACTTAACTTTTGAAAGTTTCCGGAAATACTGACACTTAATATACATATATCTTAATTTAAAGCTAGTGTAATATACTTTATTATGGAAAAAAAAAATTTTGGACTTCATTTTGTCTTCTCGACATGGTTACCGTATGCTATTTTTGTGTTTAAATAGTTGATTTTATATTTTAAACTTTATATTTCTATAATTTTTTGAAAAATGTATGGATCAATACTATTTTTTTAATTCTAATTACTATTTACATACTTCTTTTATGTTATATACTTTTTTTTTAAATCGGACCATTTCCCTTTATACACTGGGAGTTCAAAACTTAATAATTTAAGTAGAAAATTGGTGGATTATTCCACGTAGCTTTTGGAATAATCCACCAATTTTTTAAAATTAAACACTATCTACAGGTTTGCATCGAAGCGTTTTTTATAATAGTGTTTTTAATCACTGTAACAGTGATTATTACAGTCCATTATTACATTATTAGTCCATTATTACAGTGATTATTTCTTGAGTTCCCATTGTGCTGGGTTTTTTTTCATAGAACTGCCATAACTCTTTTTTAAATTATTGTATTCTTTTTAATTTACAGAAAAGAAGATATAGAAGATTTAATTGAATTTCATCATGTATAAATTCCAATTATGGTTTGAAATTGATTAACTTTATTGTAAATAATTTTGCCATGGTTTTTAACAATTTACATATTTTTTTAAAGAATTTTCTGAGTGCAATTTCTAAAATATCCAATTAAATATTTTCAAGAATACTGAACTTTATTTATAACGATTTAAATTTTATTTTGTAATAAAAAAAATGAATATTATACTTATGAATGAATTGTTTTCTTCTGGTTTATTTATTAAACTTAATCCTATCTTTGAATTCTTATAAACACTTTCATTTTAATTTTACAATTAAAAATTGTATTCATTTCACCTTTAAATGTCATATATAGCAACTTATTTAATACAAATTTTATAAAAATAAAAAAGCTCATTTTTGTTTCTATTAATTATTTTGCAACTTAGTACGAATACTTTAAGTTTTAATTATCATTTTTTTTTTTTTTTTTTTTTTTTT